CACACACACACACACACACACACACACACACACACACAGGGGGCTGTGGGGTTAGCGATGGTCCGTTCATGGTGGAGACGTGGCGAGCTTCCACGATACACTCGTGGTGTGTGTCCGTACACTGATGAGGCAAAGCACGGCGCGCTGCACACACTGCTGCTGGCTGTCTCCTCACAGCTCACCGCTGCTCCCGCCTGAACCCGTGCGTCGGTGTTTTGCCTCATCAGTGTGTGGTTTAGTGTGTGTGTGCTTTGCTGGATCCTTGCATATGTACACAATATGTGCGCACATGGCGTGTCTCTTTGGGCCTGTTGTCAGCCGTCCCACGGCTCGTCCTGCATTCCCACCCACTCACACCGACACCAACCCTCCCCTCCTCGGCGTACATGAGCGCAGCAGTGCATGTGTGCAAACTGGAGTGTGGAGGATGGGCTCGGGGTCAGACGCTGTTCTCCAGCTGGCTGTGGTGGTTGGCTGTGTGCGGCGAGTTCTGCTCGTTGAGGAGGAGGAGCGTGGTCTCGTCGGGCCCGTTCTCCGTCGGGGTGGAGTCGGCTCCCAGGTCCGCGATGGTGGTGTTGGCGGTGGCGGGGGGAGTCGTCTGATCCAGCCGGGTGGCGTTGTGGCCGCTCTCTGGGGACTGAGGCGTGCTGTCCAGACGGGACGCCATCAGGCCGTTCTGGTACTGAGCCCGGGTGATCTGAGAGAGAGGAACAATGATTCCACTGTGATCTGGTGAACGTGTACTGAGCCACATTATCATTCATTTGGGGAGGGACAGACCGATGGGCAGCCTGATGCTTCAGGTCTGCAGCCTCCTCGCTGTCTGTCCTTAGTGTCTCTCAAGCAGAGGCTGCAGCAGCTGAGCAACAAACACAAGCCGCTGCCACAAACCAGGAAGTTAGCTGCTCTCACAGTGGCTAAGGCTACGCTAACGGCTAGCACTGCTAGCTACCTGAAACATCTCCTCACAGCTCCTCAGGCTGATATCTCACACTGATGCAGCTACTGTTGAGCCTGAGCAGAGCCGTCCACAGCGCGACAGAGCAGGAACGAAACCAAAGAAAGTATTAACGTCGAAGAAGCTGCAGTCACAGAACTTTTCTCTTTCCAAATACCTCCTTGATAAGATCGGGGGTGACGTGATGTCACCAGCTGCTCGTTCCACCTCACTTCAGCGACTTGTTCTAAAAGTTCACATCTGACCAACTCATGTGTTTCTGTGAGTTATTCAGTCAAACTTGTACAATCTGGAATCACAGCTGACACTAGTTTCTGAGCTAAACATTCCTAAAGAGGTGGGCCACGTCGACTTCTGCAAGTGTTTGTATTTTCTAGTGTCCTGTATTATTCAGTCAAAGCAGGGTTGTAGCACTGGAGATCACGTGGACATCTCAGTGAGCCGACTACATCATGTCTCCAGTTATGGCCTCTCAATCATCCACAGACTGGCGCCAAGGAAATGGCACAAAGGTCGACACGACACCCACCAAAAACGTTCCTGTGACTCCTAATTGCCCCTCGGCGATACATCAAGTTTATTCTGATTCTGACTCCAGATTTTACATGTGGTCAACCCAACCCATATTTACCAAAATAAAACAAGTCAGTTAAAGATGGATTTACCAAAATAAAATAAGTCAGTCAAAGATGGCCAGGCGTTGGGTGAACTGAGATGGAACGAGGCCGTAGGAAGCCTCATAAGGAGCCACTGAATGGGGCGTAACAGCAGCCACACAAAGTGGTCTGCTGTCACTGCAGCACCATCAGGGTGAAGGTCTACAGCCCACCTTGACAAACTGCAGGTCGGTGAGGGCTCGGACGTAGAAGTCGGGCGTGTACTGCTGCGAGGGGATGCTGCTGTTGAGCTGGCTGTTGCTGCCGCTGACGGAGAGCGACTCGGTCCGGTCGGCTCCGCTCAGGGAGGCCGTTCGGTTCAAGCCGCTGAGGTGGGACGGTGAACGGAACTCTGCAAACAGAAACAGTCATTAGCAGTCGCTCCTGTTAGCGAGTCAGAGCGGGACATCTACCAGCCGTCCTGCTGCTACAGGAAGCTGGTCGTGGTTCTACGATGCAGACACACCAACGGAGACGTCAAGATGCAGCGTGGCGTCCAATGCTTGTTAACAGTGATGACATGAAGAGGCACAAGGTGTAACAAATTCACAGAGGAATGACAGGAACAGCTACACAAATGGTGAGAACAGGGACGTTCATGTCGAGTTATTTCATCCAATCAGAGCACAGCAGCAGAGAGGTGCATCTCCCACACCTGAAACCAGTGACACACAAACATCTCACACAGCAAGCAGTGAGCCAGGATGTCCTGGATGAGCCAAACCTCTCGTTTACACAGTCCACAGTAGCTCTAGTGAAGGCTGAGCAGTGCAGGGGCAGACTGACATGAGGCTTGTTAACAGAGGTGGAAGCTGGACTGATTCAGCCTCCTGAGGAAACCGAGCACTGTTGAGTTTGGTGTGATGCTAACTGAATACAACGAGGAGAAAAGAAAAGCTCTCCTGTCCAACACCAGCACCGACTCCAGTGATCTAAAACCTGACAGGAATATAAAGGTGTTCATAGATCAGACTGTGATCCAGGTATGAGCATAAAGAACAGCCGTCTGACAGCACAATCCACAGCTGGGTATACACGGCTTCAGCTGAACATTACCTTTATGTTTAATCAATCTGCCGAATATTTAGAATAATCATTAAAATGTGAGGCTACGTAAAGCTGAGAAAAGCAGAAACAACCTAAATAATAATTAATATTTAGAAGCAAACGTTCACCCATTTTGCTCATAAAGTGACTCAAAAGAGGAACAAACGATGGTGGAACAGATGACTCATCTGAGCTTCCGGTCCGATCAGAACACCTGCCCTGCTGCTCTGTGGCTCTGAGTCATGCTGTTAACAACAATCACACCTCACAGGTCTGTCTGGTTATTTTCCACCTCTGACAGCACGGTGACTAACACCGAGCAGCGCCGTGTGTCATCACGCCGACAGGTTGCTTTTAATTGAGGCATGCTCCTTTCATTCACACACACTCTGGAATGTGTCTCACACACACACGTCACGCTCAGGCTTCGTTACCAGGAGTGTATTATTACCAGTAGGTGTCAGTCTTCCAGCAGGGGGCCTCAGTGAGTCATAGGAAACTGTTTTACCTGGACACGTCAACTGCGTTAGCGATCAGGGAATGGAGGTGGCTCGTTAATAGGGTTAGCGACACTAGTCTGATAGTTAGTGGTTAGAGTTCACAGAGCCAACAAATCAGATCCAGTATGCTGATATGTGAAGAGGGAGCTTTGAAGATCCAGTAGGAACCTTTAGATCCTGTCAGCTTAACGTCATGCTTTCCTCGTCCACATGCTGTAAATCTGGTCACTAACAGAAGCCTGGTGGATGCTCCTCCGTCATCTACAAGCGTTTACGCTCATCATTAACACAGCTGAAGGAGTCACAGCCGACCTCTGGCTTGCCGTCGAAGCCCAAACACAGCTGGACGGTCTGACAGCTCCAGATATGCCGAGCTCGCCCGCCCACGGTGGCGTGGTCAGACCTGTGAGCAGCTGCTGCAGAGTAACAGCCGGCTGTGGTCCACGTGATGGTCAGTGCTCCATCCACACCTGTCAGCACCATGAACACGCCTGCAAAACTCAACCACAGCTCCTGGTGCTTGTTCAGGCTTTCGGGTCGCATCTTTAACTCACTGCGACGGTTCTGAGTTCTACCAGAGAGACCGTTTCCATCACCGGTCCTGATCGGCTTCAGGCTCCTCATAACTAAACACCAGCTGTGAAGACAATGCTGCAGATTCTGGAGAAACGCTGGTTTGATTGAAGCTTGACACCATGCAGGCAGAACAGAACGGGCCTCCTGGTGCTGACGGAACGAGCACAAAGTGGACTTTACACTGGATAACAGGTGTGTAGTTTACATGTGCTGGGAAACAGGCAGGTGACTGGACCGTCCTCACTGCTATCAGAACCTTCACGTCCGTCAGACTACGAGCAGAGACGCTTCCTGGTTTTATGTCATCAGATGTTAAAGTGATTCAGCATCTCACCAGAAATCCAACATCAGAGAAGTTGAGCCTCTCTCTTTGGTCTCACATGAATCATGTGGTGGACGGGTCGGGCGGCGCCGCCTGCAGCCGGCACACTGATGCTTCACTGTTACAACCAACCAGGTGGAACACAACACCTCAGCACCACTTTTCCTTTACTGTGCACTGGATGACTTCTCCTGAGATGCAGCACTTCCCTCTGCTGGACTGAAGGAAAGGATGTGAACACTTGTAGAACGCTCTGATACAGCACACCATGAAGGCCTGGTTCACGGGCCAATCACACGGAACGACAACATGTCATTGGGATGTAAATGCGTATCATTATAGTGCAGTGTCAGGAGGTCACAGTGGCTTCCTTCTGGTGAAACACTTCAGTCACGCTCCACACTGTCCAGCACAAATGTAAAATGAATAAAAACAAATGAACTTAAAGTCTCGCTTTGTGTCCCTGTGGCTGAAAGACAGCAGACCACAGCGACTGACTGCATTGTTTCTACGACCATAACCGTCTGGACCAGGATCCTGTAAAGAAGAGTCGCCTACTGGATCTTTAAATCACACCAGGTGCAGGTTTTAGAGGAACTCACTTCTACGTGTGACCTCGTACTGGCAGCGTGAGTTAGTGTTTGTAAAGCTAAAGTAGAGAAGTGATGGGAACCCAACAGCAATCCTCACTCACATCAGAGTTTTACAGGTGGAGCTGGGATTACAGGTGGAGCTGGGATTACAGGTGGAGCTGGGATTACAGGTGGAGCTGGGCTCTGGTCAGACATTAGTTGTATAAATGGCTGGTGGTGCTCCAGAGACTACAGGCCTGTACAGCGGTTAATGCTCTTCAGTCTATTCACCACCAGGCTCTAAACTACGTCGTCATGGCGACGGAAAGGACAACATCAGGCAGGAAGAGGCTGCATCTCAGTAGCTTCTCCAGTGCTCTCCTCTTCATCGTTTTTAATGCAGGAGCCGTCACAGAATCCTATGAGCAGATAGTGGTGAGAAACAAGCTGAGGAAGAACCCATGTGAAGCTACTGGGATGCATCCAGAGACCAGGCAGCCTGAGCTCTGGAGGCCGTCTCCGGATGTTGTCCCGTCCTTTAATCTTAGAAAAGTCGCGTCCCCACCAGTTTAGGAACAGCTCGGACTTTTTGGCAGATAAACTCCTTGAGCAGGGTTCTTCCCTTTCCAACAGCGTGTTCTCTGGCTTCCTTCTGCATGTGTTCATACTGTCGTCTTCTGTAAGAGTCCACCTGCACAGCAACGCCTCAGCTCTGTCCAACCCCTAACAGACGTGTCTCCACAGAGGCACATCTCCACGTCTGTCTTCTGGTATTTAATCACTCCAACCTGCTTCTACACTAAATAATCAGCTGTCTTTCCCTAATGTCCTCCTCTTAGTGTGTCTCCTTCATGGTTACACAGAACCGAAGAGCTCTGAACCCAGTACAGCCGTGACTCGATAACCCGACACTAAATGTAAAACCTTCTTTATGTCGGATATCAAGGCTGTGGGATTGTCCAGACGGAGGTCCAGATACGAGGAGGGCTTGATGCTGGAAGGCTCATTAGTTGTTCATTATTGTTCATAGTTGTTATAATAACTAGTGTGCTGTTAGAACACTACGCATCGCTGGACTTCAGCCTAACTGACCGGTTTGTGTACGTTCTGACCACTTCCACCCCGGGGCAGCACTCTGACGGGGTGGAAGTGTCCAGAACACACAGGCAGTACTTGGCTGCTGATGCTAGTTTAGTTAGCGCTCACACTTCTGTTTCCTCCATCGGTGGCGGCGGGGGAGTGGCAGATACGCTCCACCGTTACCATCCATGTTTACTTCCATAAACACTGAGCACGCTCGCTGCGTGTGACGTCGTCGTGTCCTCTTCTGCGCATGCGGGACACTTTTGGCTCGTATGAAGTTCACACAGCAGATCACATACAAGTCGCATTGAAGTGGAAACGTGAAGGAAGTCACAAAGAAATCCTCATTGAGCATCAAGTCCTGCAGTGTGAACGTAGCCAATCTGTGGGATTGTTCAGTCAGATAATACGCCGTCATCCTGATTGGTGACATTAAATGTCATGTCGGAGTCACAATCCAAGGCTGTCGCTATGTTAAGGCTGTTTTTATGGGTTCTGCTGGTTTTTCCTACAAACCTGTCAGACAGCAGGTTTAGGATTGTTCAGGGTCGATTATGGAGTCACGGCTGTATTATCACCTTTGTCCTTTTTCCAGACCTGAAGTTTCTGTTACGCTTAAACCGGTTCCATCAAGAATAAAACACGTTAGAGACACTTTATCCTCATAAAGCCAGCCTGGTTTATACCTTAGAACCAGAACATCATTTACTGTAGTGGGGCCTCTTTAGGGTCAACATCAGTCATTCAGACCTCAGAAGAACATAACCAACAGCAACATCTGATTGGACTGAATGTGTAACAAACAGCCAGATTGATGTTCTCTTTGGGCTTCAGAATGACTTTTGGTACCCAGTCATCTGCTCACTGTGCTGATGTTCATCGTTGGTCTGTAGAACTGGTTCTCAGAGAGACGACTTCACTGAGCTTCACTGTCCCCATCACAGGCAACAGATACCAAAACCACGGCTTTAAAAAACTACTGAACGGTTCATTGACTGTCATAATGTGAGTGTGGTACATCAACACGCTGACCAATAACAGCATCTGACAGGTAGGCTGGCGTCCCCACAGAGCTCCATGTTAGGAGCCCTTAGAGTAAATGTCAGCGTGTTCACAGCCGGCTGCTGCTAGCTCTACACCAGGCTGAATGCTCACATGACTCACGTGCTCATTTTGTATTTAAGCTGAACGGTATGCATGGTCAGGTGCAGTGTGTATTAATGCTTAGCTGTCAACTAGTTTCTGAAAATCACTGCTGGACGGTTATGAAACCACCACTGCACCAGGTTTTACTGTTTCATGTCAGGCTTTAAAAAATACCAGACGTTATGTTAGAGATCATCTTATTGTCAACTGGATCCCTTGACTGCATTAGCTAAGTCTTAAAATTAAACGTGGGAGCCTTAAATCTGACATTAATGACCAAAAGTGTCACATTTCTACAACAAACCTGCAGTAATAACGCCTGTAACATCCCAGTAACGCCCAGTAACCAGGGAGGAGCTCATCGTGAGTCCAAGCAGATGAACCTCAACATGACCTACATCAGGAGCACACGGTTCATCGCCTCCTCGCTGCCTCCTGCTCACCTGCTCTGCAGACAAAATGCTGACTCAGTATGAACAGATGTGAAGGGCGCTGTTGTGGGTAAACAAAGAGCTTATTTGCCAGAAAGCAGCTGCCGTCCTGTTGCTCTCTGCTGTCCTCAGAGGGTGGATCTACACTGAATCACAGGGAGGAGAACAGAGCTGCTGCTGCTGCTGCTGCTGGACTTCTGGATGTGACTGGAAAAGTTTAAACCGTCGCTGATCCAGGTGCTCAGGATGTAAGAGTGCCTCCTATCATCCACTGTTTCAGCCACAGAGAGCAGCGCAGGAGCGATTTCCTGCCCCTGTCATGAAGCATAGATTCACCCAGCATGCACAGCAACAGGAACCAGGCCCACCCAGTCAGACCCGCCCACCCCGAGCCCGCCTGTCCTCAGTGTTAAAGGACCCAGACATGCCGGCGTTTACCTGGCAACCGAGAGAACAGAGAAAACCTCTTAAAGGAGAGGAGGCGAGGACGAGGTGCAGCCACTGAGAGGAGAGAAGGTCGGAGGAGCAGGTGATGGGGAACAGGGATGGAGGGAGATGGAGGAGATGGAGGGACAGTCGGTGAGAGACAAGGAGACAGATCTGCTTCTGGCCGGGCGGCGACATGCAAACAAACCACGGACAGGTTCTGCTCCACTGAAACAGCACCACGTCAGGGAACCGTGTCTGGACGTGAGGGGAGCTGTTGTCAGAAAGTTTGATCAACCGGACGACAGATGAAATGAGAGAAGTGAGGCTGACGGAGGATGGGAGGACATGAGAATGAACAGATCATGCTTCACAGATCTCCGTCTCTCTGCCTGGAGACCCTGGAGGAGAGAAAGCTGCTGAGCGTTAGACCAACAGGAAAACACGACAGAGGAAAGACGAGTGCTGGGAGGAGGACATTCCTGTCTTTCTATTTACGTCATATTCGGGGTTCGTCGTGGCACAAACTGCTGTCAGTCTCTGCTTTGGGCGTTTCCCGACCTCCAGGTGAAGGTGGTCAGACAGAAGGAGCTCCTCGCTGTGTCCATGTTTAACCTGGTAAACCAATCAGGAGTCGTTCTTCTGCCGATCTGATTTATTTGGTTTTTTAAAACATTTCTGGACCATGTGCAGCAAAATATATCACAGTACAGGTGTTGTACTGGACTGCATCAGACCTCACAGGTGCACAAAGTGGCTGGTGAGTGAACACATGCTGTTTCATACGGAGCTTCTGAGGCTGCATCTTTTACTACGTGTAGTGTTTGAAACTGTCCACCAGATGGTGCTGTTTGGATGCATTTTAACCCATCTGCCTACAGGTGAGGTTTCATTTACAGCTGTTTCATCTCCATTATTACGCTGTCCACTGATCTGTGACCGACAAAACAGAAAACCGAGGTTGAACATCCCATAATGAAATGTAAACCGTATACAGATAAACCATATAGAGGCTAGCCCGTGTACAGGCTAACCCGTGTACGGTAGGCCAGGCCCGTTCATGAAGCCTGAGCCTCTCTCTGTGCTGCTTGTTGCCTGTTAGTTTGAATTGACCTTGTTTTTAGCTGATCCTTGTGCTGTGGTGTTTTTAGGCTCTGTTTTACTTACAGGTCACTACAGCTATGTTATCGATGTTCCTAAATAAACCGTGCTCACTGCAGACGGTTCAGGAACTCAGACTGAACTGAACATCCTGCAGCCCTCCTCAGACGTGCACTCCCTCCTGTTACCACGGCCACATCTGGACCTCTGGGCATGTCACCTGCTGCACCTCCCACGGCTTGGTTTCAACCCAAAGCAGCTCCTTGCACATCTGTGCTGTGAGGCAGGTGCAGAGGAGGGACGAGTGTGTCCAACACACTGCTGCACGCTGTCTGGCTTACAAAGAGAAAGTTAGCAGTGCAACGTTAGTGCAACGTTTCGGCGCTGGACCTTCATCAGGGAAACGGCTGCTGAAGGTCTGGAAGGACCTGATGAAGGTCTGGCAACAAACGGAGCATTAATACGTTCATGTCTGCAGGTTAGATGGCGTGCAGGAGTTTGTCTGAACATATCTGATGACTGAAAAGGGCTTTAATTCACAGAAACTCCCACCAGGTGGCAGTAGGAGCATTAAGGACGCCCCAAATGCACTGTCAATACAAGTTCACCTCCTGTAAAGGGAATCATTACTTCATCATGAACAGTCAATGTGTTTACAGAGTGAACAGTAGAGTACAGTAGAGTACAGTAGAGTAGAGCAGAGTAGAGTAGAGTACAGCAGAGTAGAATAGAGTAGAGTAGAGTACAGTAGAGTAGAATAGAGTAGAGTAGAGTACAGTAGAGTACAGTACAGTACAGTAGAGCAGAGTAGAATAGAGTAGAGCAGGGTATTTGGACTCACCCAGGGTGGGAGCACTCAGCGCCATGACACCATAGAAGGAGAAAGGTCCGGTCTCAAACTTCATGTTCTCGTTCCCCGCCTCCACCTCCACTCGACCCTGATGGATCCACAGAAACATGGACGCCGTGTGATGAAAGCTGTTTGTGTTCATTTAGTTCAGGTGACGTTTCTCCTGCTCACCCAGTGCCGTGCGTTTCAGACAGGAAAACAACTCTTTGGTTCTCATTAGTCACTTCAGTCTATGAAACATCAGGACGAATGAAAACGACAGAGCGGCGACACATCTGGTCATGTGACGGAGGCGGCCAATCGGCTCCTTCAGGGTGAACAATGACATCTGATCCTCAGCCTCCATCAGAACACAACTAACGCTGCAAACATGGTTTGACGGATTGTTCTGGTTATAAAATGCTAGAAAATAAGAAAAACGTGCGTTTTAAGAGTCCAAAGTGACGTCTTTAGATGTCACATATCAGCAGTTCAAAAGCCAAACGTGTTCCCTTCATCATGTACGATCACGAAATAAATCACATCCTGATATCTGTGGTCCGAAATAAATCACATCCTGATATCTGTGGTCCGACCCAACAAATGTTCACACATCTTATCCAACCCTCTCAATCCCAGAACCTGCCAGCAGACATAAAAGGCAGGTTTCCTTTGAAAGAAATGCCAAAATAACATCCTGATAAGAAACTAAAAACAGAGAAACTCGGCAGATTTTTGACCTCCAGTGATCCATCAGCAAACCTCACACGTCTCCGTCCAGAAAACAACCAACAATAAGCTTCACATTGTGGCATTCATGGACATTAGTTTATTCTACTTCTCATATGTTTAAAAGGAAGTTGCTTGGTTTATTCACATTCTGTAAAACTCTGCGGCCCTGATCTCAACCAGGAAGCCACGACAGACTCACGTGGCTGAGATGGGCTGTAGACCGGGTCTCTGCACAAAGCACCAAGAAGACCAGCCGGACACGCAGTCGTATATTCAGTCATGGTTTTCAGGGTTAAGTGTGGGCACTTGGAAAAAATGTAATGTTGATTACATTTTTTTGTATTTTTGTAAAATAAACTAATGACAGAAATCTAAGTTTTGTTGTTATTTTTTATACCTCACTGTGTTATACTTCTGTTGTACTGCATGAAAGGCATGTTTGAGCTCAGGTGAGCTCCTCGCCTCCACAGCGATGCAGCAGGACTTTATATGGCAGCGAGAAACAAACACACCCAGCAGGAATCAGACTAAAAATAAACAAAACAGATGCAGATTAACTTTGTGCCTCGTAAGCCTGACTTTCAGTTTTCATGAAGCGACACAGTTTGGCCTCTAGAGGGCGGTGCAGCCCCAGGTGGAATCAGGCTGCTATACTGTGTTTATTGGTCTCTGGAGAGACTCTGGCTCACTGGTGGGAGGAAACATGTTTACTTTGGCCTCGGCGTGATCCTGCTGAGCTCTCAGCCGAACACAGTCACAGCTAAGACCAGCGGAGGGCCGACGTGATGACCGAGGAGAACGGGAGGTTCTCTGTAGGAACTAAAACCGGAGGAAACAGGAGCCCAGAGAGGGAGCTGCAGGGACGACAGGACAGAGGGGTGGACAAGGCCTCTGTGTTGGTTCAGAGCTGGCCCGGATCGGCCCGCTGGAATGTGTGAACTGCAGCAACAACACAGCACAGTTAATCCACGCCGTCCTCCGTCCCCTCCATCCCTCCGTCCCCCCATCCCCCCGCTCAGGGACCGGCTGATGGCAGCACAACAGGTGGTAAAATAAAAGAGAGCCAGACGGTGCAGCTAAACTAGAACAATCAGCTCAGGGTCTAAATCCAAGATCCAGTTTCTCTGTTGTGATCTTAGCACTCACTGAGGCTGATCTGTGGAGCAGAACCCACTGATGGCTCAGTTGGACATTCGGGTTGAGCTCCCAGCTGCTCATCAACCCTGAAACTCTGGTGATGACAGTTTTAAGGCTTTCAGACACATTAAACGACATAAACTCCACCTGACTGTAATAAGTCTGTTTAGCCTCCGTACAGCCTCAGCGAGGCGTTAGAGCCCGAACACACAGCTCTGAAACGCAGTTCTGCAGCAGCGTTGCAGTGAGAAGCTCACGCTTTATGCTGCATGTGTGCATAAAGCAGACAGAGCGCATGTACGTCCATCACCTGGTATGGCCGTCCCTCCAGCTATTTCAGGGTGCGTGCCAGCATAGAAGCCTGATTATTACAGGAGAGGAGACGGGGGAGTGCCAGTGCTTCACTTCCATCATAAACTCTGCAGAATCCCGCTCACACCATCTCCTAGAACTGCACCATGTGCACTGAGCTGAACTTTAAACTCCAAGACGTCACATTTTTATTCACTGTGGGTTCATTTTTCATTGCAAACAGCCCGTTCACGGCTATATTTATACGGACTGGAGGTACACATGTGCTCCCAGTGGAGGAAACCACCTCTACACTACGTACATGTGAGCTGGTTCCATACTGGTCCTCTATCTGCTCAGTCTGAACGCTGCCTGCATTTCAGCCTCATTCCACCAAAAGTCCCAGGATGTCTGTCCTGTGACTGGGTTCTGTTGGTTTCTGGTCACTGCAAACTCCTCATACTGGGTGATTTTTTAATAAGACCTGTAGAATGAAGGGAATTATCCTGATTTTAAGCTGAGACGTGGTCCATGTCCTGATGGACACACGACTACTTTAAGGACTGTTGGGAAGTTGAAATCCCTACAGTTCCTTCTGTTCATGGTTGTGATGATTTATGGCGTTATAACCGTCACACTGCAACAATAAACACACGTGAGCGTCCCCTCTGCTTCTAGCCAGGATGGAGCTGCTCCCACAGAGGCTCCATACTGCAGTGAGACATGAGCCCACAGTGGGTGAAACGGGACAGAATAATAATGACTGATTTACACTGAGCCTGGTGGTGGTATCTCCGGCTGTAGCCTCAGCTGCCCTGGGGGGGGGGGGGAAGACTGCCCTCCGACCACCTCAACAACCACCCATCCACACCAGGCAGGTGGTGGAGTGTGTTGGACAAGGACACGTCGACCAGGACACAGGTTACAGGAATCGAACCGCCGACCTTCTGATCACCGACCGACCCGCTCTACCGCCTGAGCCACAGGAGAGGAAAACACTCAGAGACTTTTCAGACGACTCGTTTATGGTCATTGGACTCCTCACCTTTCAGAACCAACACCTGCGTACGGATTACTGATTAACAGTGAGCGCCTGTCCACTCAGATGACTGACCGTCCAGCGCTGTGTGATTGGTCGCCTGTCTGCACACACTGGTCCAATCAGAGCAGCAAAACCAAGAGAGAAAGTAGCCAATCACATGTACACAAGTCTCATGAAGGAGTGAAAGGACAGTGTGGTCATGTGTGTGCAGGTCAGACACCTTTGGGTCTGTTCTGGACCCACCAGCTGACGGACTCTGGTGCTTTCTCTGTGTTTCATGGACGTCTGTTGATTCTTCAGCAGAAACTGAGCAAAGAGTGACAACATGTCTCCACAACAGGACGCTCCTTCCACATGTCAGCGCTGAAGAGTGGGGACACGCTTATTAAACGCGTGTTTTAAAAGACACGACTCCATTTGCTGAAATGTTCTGGTCCAGATTTGTCCAGTTGGACTCAGTCACACCTGCTCAGAGCAGCCACGGGCTTCTAGCACCGATCGCTGAGCAGTCAGAGGTCAGACGCCGGACTCAAGGACAACCTGGTGCCGAAAGAGGAGCACACCGTCACTGGCCAGAGGCCTCTGGGTGTTCTGCTGAACTGGCAACGAAGCCAGAAACAAACCGATAAACAACCCGGAGGTTCTACATTCCTGCATCATCTGCTCCACAGAGGCTGTACAGCACATCGACTCCACGTCTGACCCTCGATGCAGAAGGTTAAAGCTGCCACTTAAAGCACATCAGCGGACTTAGAGGGATGCTAATCACCTCTCACCATATGGTCGGCTGTGTGTATGTGAGATCCGCCGGGGTCAGATATTCGCCTGCAACACGAGCTCTTACACAAACCTCATACGCGCCCGGCGAGCACGCCGAGGGCCGACTGCAGCGTCCACGCTGCTGCATGACTGCTTTCGTTTGAAGGGAGGCTCGGGGGAGGGACGAGACAAAGAATAGAAGCAGAGGGAGGCGGAGGACAGGCGTGAGAGGTGTGAAGCCTGCCGGTGCTCCGGTCCGACCCGTTCTGCCAGATCTGCAGCGACAGCACGGCCTCAAACACTCAGACCAGCACACGGCACCGACCCTGGCCGTATGAAACCAGACCACCGTGGCCCACTGTGGCTGCTGAGGTTCTACTGCAGAGAATCAAGGCCAGAGCCAGGCCTTCTCATGTTTGATCAGACTCCTACTTTGTCTGTGGATCTGCAATAAAACCTGCTGCAGGCGTCAAAAACAACGACACTGAAGCTGCTCGAGCTCTGTGAGCAGCTTCCTGCTGCAGCGCCACCCATGGACGACGTCAGGAAACAAACGCTGACCTCGTGTCGTGTCACATGCTAGAAATAAAACCCACATGCACACTTTATGAGCAGCACTACCAGCGACCTCAGCAGAGTGACGACGAGCGAGCTCATATCAGCAGAAGTCAGATTTGTGTCTCAGACAACAGGTCTGACTGATAGCGTTTGTTTCTCTCAGCCTGGATCATATCTTCTGTATGTAAAAGGAATAAAGTGCATCACTGTACTGAAGTCTGACCAATAAGACAGATTTTAAAACAAACTGTCAGAGAATCTGTAAGTTAACAGAGAAAATATGTTGAGAAGCAGTAACGTTAGAAAAACACAAAACAAACAAACCAAAAACACAAATATGTGTAAAACAGTGAACAGTAAGATGACGTAATCTGACTGTGGCACACGGTGAGTCTGGGTCCGGTCAGGACATCATCCAGTCCACAGCTAAGTGTAGTTCTGCATGTGAAGGTTCTCTTGGTAACGCTCAGGAAACCCTTCTTCTGACTGAACCAGCGGCCCGGGAGGCCTCCTCGGCCACCTGGGACCACGTGGACAGATAAGAGCAGCCGGTTTATAGAGTCACTGTGGACTATATGAGAGGCTCCAGA